CATAATACTACCACACCCGTTTCTTCCACCACAAATCCTAACAATTTTAACAGAATTGTTAAATATTAATGTACATATAACCAACGCTAACCTTTTTTCAAAACCCATAACCTAATTCTACACATCTTGCACATACAGTATCAATATAAATACATCAAATGTACGTCAATCTATCACTATCCCATCATCTTCCCAACAAGCAGCTACAACTCAGTGGCGCCCTCACGTCTAACCTATAAATTCCATTTTCCCCTCATGCATAATACTGCCATACCCATTTCTTCCACCACAAATCCTAATAATTTTCACAAAATTGTTAAACATTGATATTCATATAATCAACGCTAACCTCTCTCCAACAACAAATCCTCACATTTTTCCAACACTCATAACCTAATTCTACATAACCTACGTATACAATACCAATATAAATTCATCAAACGTCGACCTATCACCATCGTACATCTTCCTAACAAACAGCCTGAACGCAGCTCGCAACTCAATGGCGCCCTCGCGCCAAACCCACGAATTCCATTTTTATATGACGCGCATCCAGGCGTCGCGTGAGGGCAAGTAGTATAACTGCTCGCACGTCAGACGCGTAAAAGCTGCGTGAAAGTGGCGCGCGTCCGCCGCATGGGAACGACCGATAGGATCGGTCGGCCGCGATACGTAGGTATGTCGATGATTTCGAGTGGCACTCGAGTAACTCATGCGTCGATTAAGTGCACCGTCGAGCCATCGGGGCGCGAAGCGTGTGTGAACGTGGCCGAAGAGCGTTGTTTTATCACCGCGCCGGCCGAATGTTGCGACACGTTCTCGATCCGCGTTACACGCCACGGAATTTATTGCCTCTCCGTCCACCGTTCATCTCTATATTTGCCTTCGTGCCTCTATATACGCGGAGTCTGTGAGCTACTGTAACGAGCACTGGGCCGTGTATACATCACTGAAAGCCCCGAGTAACGTGTTACGCGCCGCGTTTACGAAGATGTTGCATTTAAATCGATCTTCGGAAATCGATCTTCGTCTGAGATTGCAATTTTCAACTGGTATTTGGAGACATTCTGCTGCGTTAAAATAATTATTACGTATTTATCTACGCGGCGTTGGAATTTTACCTATAATAAGGAATTATATAACCCACTGGCGCCATTTTGGTGGAATTATTAATTTAAAATTTGCTGCTTCGCTGCTTTGTTTCTCGTCAATAATATGCAGGTTAATTTTTCAGTGCTCAAAGTATAATATATAACAATAAAAATGCTCACTAAGGCCATACGTCGAGGGAAATTGTTGAAAAGAATTACGACCTACTGTAATTCATGAAAGAAACCAAAGTGTTACTAAAAATACTATAGTTATACATAGCATATCGCTAATTATCTATATAGCAGTTGCGACATTATATTAATGTATGGAAAAAGAATATCGCAGGTTAATTTCATTTACGATAACGATAGATGGCATTATTTTTGAGTGAACAATAGAATGTTAAATTGAATTAAATTATTAAGTAGGACAAAGAATACGATGTGCTACATATCTATTATAATTAACGATCACTCACTGTCAATGTGACAACCACTGACGGAGAAAGTCCATCAGTGACCGCCATACTGATGAACATGTTAATTACTTTATGCGTGTCCTTACATGGAGAACGATAGTATTACTGGAAAATATTCAATATATTTTCACTATACACAAAATAACAGCTTCTAATATAGCATAGCTTCACTTCTCTTACTCACGAGAGCCCCAAGTCTGCGAAGCGTGTGTGAACGTGGCCGAAGAGCGTTGTTTTATCACCGCGCCGGCCGAATGTTGCGACACGTTCTCGATCCGCGTTACACGCCACGGAATTTATTGCCTCTCCGTCCACCGTTCATCTCTATATTTGCCTTCGTGCCTCTATATACGCGGAGTCTGTGAGCTACTGTAACGAGCACTGGGCCGTGTATACATCACTGAAAGCCCCGAGTAACGTGTTACGCGCCGCGTTTACGAAGATGTTGCATTTAAATCGATCTTCGGAAATCGATCTTCGTCTGAGATTGCAATTTTCAACTGGTATTTGGAGACATTCTGCTGCGTTAAAATAATTATTACGTATTTATCTACGCGGCGTTGGAATTTTACCTATAATAAGGAATTATATAACCCACTGGCGCCATTTTGGTGGAATTATTAATTTAAAATTTGCTGCTTCGCTGCTTTGTTTCTCGTCAATAATATGCAGGTTAATTTTTCAGTGCTCAAAGTATAATATATAACAATAAAAATGCTCACTAAGGCCATACGTCGAGGGAAATTGTTGAAAAGAATTACGACCTACTGTAATTCATGAAAGAAACCAAAGTGTTACTAAAAATACTATAGTTATACATAGCATATCGCTAATTATCTATATAGCAGTTGCGACATTATATTAATGTATGGAAAAAGAATATCGCAGGTTAATTTCATTTACGATAACGATAGATGGCATTATTTTTGAGTGAACAATAGAATGTTAAATTGAATTAAATTATTAAGTAGGACAAAGAATACGATGTGCTACATATCTATTATAATTAACGATCACTCACTGTCAATGTGACAACCACTGACGGAGAAAGTCCATCAGTGACCGCCATACTGATGAACATGTTAATTACTTTATGCGTGTCCTTACATGGAGAACGATAGTATTACTGGAAAATATTCAATATATTTTCACTATACACAAAATAACAGCTTCTAATATAGCATAGCTTCACTTCTCTTACTCACGAGAGCCCCAAGTCGCTTGTCCACTTAACTCACTAGCGCCACCACAGCCCACATCTACGACAAATCTGTCATAAACCCCGCATACGCGTATCGTTGAATTTTCTTTTAATTTCATTGATATAATCTTGCAGTTTTCTACCTGCTATGCCAACCATATTGTTTTAACCTATAGTTAAACAAGTATAACTGTATCACCATGAATAAAAAGTACTTACACTCACAGATCGTATTATTTTTGGGTGAATAATAGAACGTTAAATTGAATGAAATCATTAAGTAGAACAAAGAATACGATGTGCTACATATCTATTATAATTAACGATCGTTTACAGTCAATTTGACCACTACTGACCGAGGAAATCTATCAGTAACCGCCATACTGATGAATATATTAATTACTACTTTATGTCCTTACATAGAGAACGATAGTATTACTCGAAAATACCACTATATACAAAATAACAACTTCTAATATAACGTAGCTTCACTTCTCTTACTCACGAGAGCCCCAAGTTGCTTGTCCACTTAACTCACTAGCGCCACCACAGCCCACATCTACGACAAATCTGTCATAAACCCCGTATACGCGCATCGTTGAATTTTCTTTTAATTTCATTGATATAATCTCGCAGTTTTCTACCTGCTACACCAATCATACTGTGTTAAACTATAGTTAAACAAGTATAACTATATCACCATAAATAAAAAGTACTTACACTCACATCTAAGCTTCTAGTTTCTTCGACCATCGAAGCGATTCCAGCCGCATTGACGCAACCACTCGGCAGCGATTCCGCAGTGGTCGATCAGCGATTTTTTCGCAAACGGGTGTCGAGACGGTGGATCGCGAAGGCCACGATCCGCGAAAGCGATTTAACATGCGTGACGCGCACCGCGGTGCATAGACGCGCGGCTAGCATACGGTACGAGCGGTTGATTTATCGCGTCTCGGGCTCGTGCGCGCGAGACTCCCTTATCTCCGCCATTATCTCCTCGATTGAAGAAAAGTTGAACTTTCGTGGGTGCGTCCGTTTCCTGGTTGCGCCGCCCGCGGCGCAGAAAAATCCTGGGCCCCGGTAATCGTGCGCTCGTTGTTCTCCTGCATCGATGCCGCACACGCATCGCGTCTCCCGGATGCGTTCCGTTCCAAGAATTTATATCGTGGTTCTGCGGGCATAACGCGGAATTCTTCTGGTTTTAAGTTTGTTGCAGGGAAATTGTTGTCTTTTGGAGCGATCGAAATTTTTAATGGAGGTTGGAGGAAATATGTTTTATTAGAGAATGTTGGTGTGAAGTGGTTCAGTGATAGTTAATCGACTAATCTCTAATTGGGAATTATTGTTTTGTCACGGGATGAGCGATATTTTTAGTTTGGATTCAACTTTCGAGATTTTGCAAGTTTGTTAGTTTGGATTTTGAATATTTTGAAATTTTGTTATTTTGGATGCTTGAAGTTTCGAATTTTGAGAGTTTGAGATTAAAGAATTTTGTTATTTCGAATGTTTGAATCTTGGAATTTTAGAAATTTTATTATTTAGAATTTTTGAAGTTTAGAAATTTGGAGAGTTTGAGATTAAAGAATTTTGTTACTTTGAATCTTTGAATTTAGGAATTTAAGAAATTTTATTATTTAGAATCTTTGAAGTTTAGAAATTTGGAGAATTTGAAATTAAAGAATTTTGTTATTTTGAATCACTGAGATTTTGAAATTTAGTAACTTGCAAACTTCCGAATTTTAGTATTTTTAAATTAAAATTCTAAAATTTTTAATTTAAAATTAAATTAAATTGAAAAGTTTCATTATTTCCTTATATCGAATCTTCAAAATTTTGCAACATTTAAATTTCCATAATTTAAAACCTTGGAGTATAAAAGATTTAGAAAATTTTTAATTTCAAGATTGAAAAATTTTAAAAATTTAATCGTCCTCTGAAAAAATTAAAAATATTAAGAAACTGAAGAGAATTAATTTCGATCATTACCGAGACAAGTGCATGATCAATTTGTATGCCAGGCTAATGAACTACTATCGAACAGGTATCGTTTCAACCAAAAAGAGAAGGCAAACTCTAGCACAGGTGAAAGTAATCCGTGGAGCCTACTAAAGATTAAGAAAAACCGAATAAATTCGAGCGATAAAAGAAAGACGGAATAAAGTGCTTCTCATCGTTAGTTATTTGACGTGGATTAATTTCTCTAATGGCGTGCCTTTCTATTGGTTTCAGAACGGTAAGAGGCTGTTCATCGGGGCGCCAGGAAGTTGGTACTGGCAAGGTAAGGCTCTTTCTCGATACACCTATTCCCTAGTTCGATTTGGGTCGACAATTTCACAATCGATATCACCTTCGAACGCGACACCTTCCTCGACTTGTAAATACGCGTATCAATTTTGTCTCGATTTCTATTTAATTGGATACCAAACGTTCGAAGAGGCTTGGAATTTCGTGACATTACCATTTCCTCTTTGAATACCTAATTTTAATCCTTTGAAGTCGATCTTTCTTTCAGAACAAAGTCGTTTAAGTAATTTAATTAATAATTTCTATAATTTATTACGAATTGTTTAAAAGGTAAAAGAAAATTAAAATTCTGCAAGAAAATTGCAAAATTTTGATCATTCGACAAAATAATGGAATAAAAAGATATTTGGACAGTTTACAAACTTTGAATTTTTTAAAAGTAAAATATGCAAGTTGGATTTTAAATTTTCAAAGTGAAATTATATTTGGAGTGAGATACGAGTGTTAAGAATGTGTAGGTGAAGTTGGAAAAATATTTGGACGCGGAAATTATTTTTGAATTAATTCCTGTTTTATTTGTTGGTTAATTTACGTTTGACAATAATTGGAATTTTTCTACTTTCCGCGAATTTTCTTTATAATTTTTCCACACTCGATTCTAGAATTCGTGTGTTAATTTAGATGTATCATTTTGGTACTATTTTAAAAAATTCAATGTATGTATTCATACATTATTTGTTAAAAGTCCAGAATTGAAATGTTTCAGTACTCTTGTGAACAAGAATATACTATTCTATAATTGTTCCTACTTTTTTCATATTTCAATTATTTTATATAATTCTTCCTACTTTTTTATATTTCAGTTATTTTACAATTTTTCCCAATCTTTTACATTTCAATTGTTTTAAAATTCTTCCTAATTTTGCATATTTCAATTATTCCATAATTTTTTCTGGAATTTTTTATATCCCAATTATTTTGTAATTCTTTCTACTTTTTTATATTTCAGTTATTGTACAATTCTTCCTAATCTTTTACTTTTCAATTATTTTAAAATTTTCCCTAATTTTTCATATTTCAATTATTTTATCATTTTTCTAGTATTTTTTATTTAATTATTTTTTAATTCTATATATCATTCTATTTATAATTCTTCCTACTTTTTCATATTTCAGTTATTTTACAATTCTTTCCAATCTTTTACATTTAAATTATTTTAAAATTCTTTCTAATTTTTCATATTTCAATTATTTTATAATTTTCTCTGGTATTTTTTATATCTCAATTATTTTATAATTCTTCCTACCATTTTATACTTCAATTATCCTACAATTTTTTATACTGCCATTAGTCACGTTGACCTTTCCACGAAATCAGTATACAGATTAAAAGAATTAACTGACGAATCTTCAAAGGGTTAGGAAAATTCGGTGACCAATGGAACTCGAATTTTACGCAGAATTCGAAACTTTATAATTCCAAATAATCTCCCAGACTTCCCCGGGTCAATTAGGCTTCAAAAATTCTCGGCAAAATTGCGATGGAATTAAACGCACCGCACTTTCTACCCCACTAATTGGACGGTATACAGTCACTGGGCCACTAATACGAGAACGAACGAAAACGAGGCTCGAGCTTTTATAATGCCTGGGCGACAGCTACAGAAACACAAAAACACGCGACCATCCTTTGGGTCTTTAAAGTAATTTAGAGGGTTTCGTTGAACGATTACAGGTCAGTTATACTCGATCGACACCAGTTTGAGACTGCCGTTCCAGGCGTCCGTCTTGTTCGCCCCCGAAGCAGAAGAATCAGGTATCGCGGACTTGCAGGCGTCCTTAACGAAACGAGAAATAAAGACGTGTCGTCGTTTAAACCCAGTCACCCCTGTTTAAACATCTCTAATCTGCCGCCATTTTGTTAACGACGAATCGTCCATTAACAAGCGTTGCTTCATGCTCCAAGATTTGTTTGCATTGGTTTTCTTGAAATCGACAGAGCGAAGGGTTCACTGGAGTCGAATATTATGTTCGTGTAAATTAAACTTCAATTTGAAAATTTAAAAAATTTTAGAAAGACGTAAAAATTAGATTTATAACACCAATACAATAATAATTATTTAATTACGAGAGATATAAGTCATTAGACATATTATCTAATTTTTGTATATTAATTAATATTATTAATATATTATAATTAATATATCAGATAATATATATTGTAGATATATCTATCTAATTTTTTTATTTAATTTAAATTGTTTTCTTTTCTTTCCTACGAATTTTACGAATTTTAGTAATTTTTTATTTCTTTTTCTGGTAAAGTATAATATATGGAAGATTGGAATGTGGAATATTAATTAATTTTGAAAATGATATATAGCTAAATAGTATATGGAGATTGTGTTTGAGATAAAAATTGGAATTTTTGTTAGTGTTTGGAAATACAATAGTATTGATTTGAAAAGAATATTAATAATTTTGTGGATTTCGTAATTAGTGTTTCGTGTAAGGACGTAGTAAGAGTAATTATTAAAAAATTTTCGAATTAAAATTATAATAAAACTTGATTAGTTGAAAAATATTAGAAATTTTTACTTTACTTTCTATAGAAAAGTAAAATATGTAAAAGGATAAAAAACATCAACTGGAGTTTCTAGACATTTAAACGCGAATTGAATTTTTCAATTGTTATATAAATTATACAAATTTCAAAGTTAACTTTATAATAATTATTTTAATTTCATATTCTCATATTATATTGTATCGTTATGAACGATATTTAAATTTTTTGCGAATATTACTATAAAAATCTATTGCACCATTATCCTAAAAGTCTCAAATTTTTATAATAATCGTAAAATAAAAATTTCTAAATTCATTTGCAATATCGAATATATTGTATAGTATCTTGCGTCATATAATTTTCTGCCAAAGGATATTAAATTATCCGTATGTAAATAATTAACAATCAAATAACTATTTAAATTTCTATAAATCTATGATAATAAATTCTCATTGAAAACTAAATTATCCACATGCAATTAATTAACAAATAAATTGCTATTTAAATTTCCATAAATCAATAAAAATAAATTCTCATTGAAAACTAAATTATCCGTATGCAAATAATTAACAACCAAATAACTATTTAAATTTCTATAAATCTATAACAATAAATTCCCCATTAAAAACGAAATTAATTAAATTCTCATAAAGAAACTAAATTATCTGTATGAAAATAATTAACAATTAAATAGCTCTCAAAATTTCTACAAACTCTCACCGAAAGCCCCAAGAAATCACAAACTTCCAAAAAGGAAAACAGCTTGAAAACAACTTCTCACCTGTAGAAACAAACGCTCCAGACTTTTCGCTCTGCAAATCCCGAACATCGATCCGAAAACATAAATCACGAATATAAATCACCTCCAAAGCGACAAAACACTCGTGATACCATCGCGATAATCGGTACCCTTTCTCGTCTGCTTGGCCCCCAATAATTAATTTCCAATAATCACGCGTTCATCCGGCTTCCACTCATGCGGACTCACCGCGATTAACCCGACGCCTGTGATTAATAATTCGAAGGAACTCCTGTTGAACTGTCACGCTCAAGCACATCGCGAATGCGAAACCAAAAAGGAAAAGCAAAACAAAAAATCCAAATAAAACAAAATTTAAAAAATACGAAGAACAAAGAATCCTCTTTGTTCCGTCCATTAATTTGCAATTAACGTAGAACACGATCTTGCATGCTTGACAGTTTGAGGCCTGTGACGCCTCTGACGCTCCTCCCCTCAGTGATTAATATCCGATTGATGATTAATGCACCGTGTGCTATGATTACTTATTAATTACTGCCAGGTGAGTCGAGGGTGGCAGTGTTTAACAGGTGCAGGCCCGCTTCTCGCAGCTTCGCGTTGCGGCCAGAGAATAATAATGCGTGGCCAGCCTAGTAGTAACAGTAATGCCGCCTAATCAGGCTCGAGAGAGACCATACTCGAGAGAGACTATAACGCTGGAATTTAGTTGCAGTTGCCTGGCAGTAGCGACCTCTCGATGTATCAGCGTCGCTGATAGAGCTACGCTTGTGTTAGAGGCTAGATTAATTGACAACACGTGGCTTCACGAGCGTGTATTGTTGCAGTTTCTTGTGAAACTTCGGTTTTCTGACTACGATTATGCTGAGACTCGATTGTCAGTAGATTCGGTATGCGATTCGATGATTCGCATGAAGGAGGATATGAATCGAGGTTGCAATAGTTGAGAAAGCACAACGTGTTTACATTCTCACGACTGATTCATTTCACTGACACTCCCTTGATCACAGAAAACAGTAACCGATGATTTTCGTGTGGATAGAAGTGGACACCAATATCTTCTACGTTCTTTAACAGTCAACGCGTTAGTATATTTAGATAAAAATATTTAAATGATGAAAACAGCTCGCAATAAACTTGTAAACTCGTAATAAACATGCAATTTTAAATCAAAAAATTGATTGACACTTTCTAGGAAATTTCTCACTCTTGTTAACCATTACATACCCATGTTTCCTCTTTCATGATTCTCGCACGGATAAAAATAAGAGCAAGTAATTACGAGTAATTCGTCCATTTTCCATTTATTATTGTAAAGTATTATTCCAACATATGTCATAGTGGATTCTCCAAATTCTCCTGCTTTCCACTTTTTCATTTTTATTTCAACACACCTAGTGAATCTCTAATATCCCAGATTTTTCTACCTTCCATTCTTCGTCCATTTTCCCTTTACTATTCTAAAGTACTATTCCAACACATTTCATAATGAATCCTCACTATCTCAAATTTTTGTTTTGCAATTTCAACACACCTAATGAACATCTAACATCCCAGATTTTTCTATCTTCCATTCTTCGTCCATTTTCCCTTTACTATTCTAAAGTACTATTCCAACACATTTCACAATGAATCCTCAATATTTTCCTTTTACTATTCTAAAGTACTATTCCAACACATGTCATAGTGAATTCCCCAAATTCTAGTGTTTTTCACTGCTTTCTTTTTATTTCAACACACCTCATAGTGAATCCTCAACATTCCAAATTTTCCTATTTTCCACTCTTTTATTTTTATTTCGACACACCTAGTGAATCTCTAATATCCCAGATTCTATTTTCCACTCACATTTTTATTTCAACACACCTAATGAATATCTAATATTCCAGATTTTTCTACCTTCCACTCTTCGTCCATTTTCCCTTTACTATTCTAAAGTACTATTCCAACACATTTCATAATGAATCCCCAATATCCCAAATTCTTCTTTTGCAATCTTTCATTTTTATTTTAACACACCTCATAGTGAATCTTCAACATCCCAAATTCTCCTGTTTTCCACCCTTGTTTTCTACTCCAATGTATTTTATAGTAAATTTTCAACCACCTAAATCTTTCTACCTTCTACTCTTCGTTCATTGCCTCTTTACTGTTCTAAGCTACTATTCCAACATATTTCATAATGAATCCTCAACATTTCAAATTCTTGTTTTGCAATCTTTCATTTTTATTTTAACACACCTCATTGTGAATCTCCAACATCCTTTTACTATTCTAAAGTACTATTCCAACACATGTCATAGCGAATTCCCCAAATACTAGTGTTTTTCACTGCTTTATTTTTATTTCAACACACCTCATAGTGAATCCTCAACATTCCAAATTTTTCTATTTTCTATTCTTTTATTTTTATTTCAATACACCTAGTGAATCTCTAAAATCCCAGATTTTTCTACCTTTCATCCATTTTTCCTTTACTGTTCTAAAGTACTATTCCAACACACGTCATAGTGAATCCCCCAAATTCTTCTGCTTTCTACTCTTTCATTTTTATTTCAACACACCTAGTGAATCTCTAACATCCCAGATTCTCCTGTTTTCCACTCTTTCATTTCTATTTCAACACACCTAATGAACATCTAACATCCCAGATTTTTCTATCTTCCATTCTTCGTCCATTTTCCTTTTACTATTCTAAAGTACTATTCCAACACATTTCACAATGAATCCTCAATATCTCAAATTCTCCTATTTTCCACCGTTCTTCCATCATCTCTTTCTCGTCTCAAACTATTTCGCACACCTCGGACTCCATCCTCATCATCCCAAATTCTGCCATCTTCCTCCCATAACCATACCTTCTCGCGAATATCTCACGTGTTACAACCCAACCATCGACCGATACCATCGACGCTATCACAGTTTCTCAGAGATATTAAATTGCTATCTCGAGTCAGCATACTCTCCTACCAATCGTGGTCAGAAAGCCGACGTGTTTGCGAAAGTACGTGTCTGAAATCTCGGTGGTCAAGCTTCGTGATTGACAACGTCAATTGCCGGTTGCTTTTACAGGCCAAGCGTTTTCACAGCCGACGAACAACCCCGCGAAAAGAATGTTCACGAAGGAAGGGCCGGCGACCGAGGACGATAGCTACATGGGTTACTCTGTCACGACCGGCGATTTTTTTGGCAACGGTGACAGCGGCACCGCCGTCGGCGTACCCCGTGGCTCCGAACTTCTTGGCAAAGTATGCTCATGAAATATTAACGCTGGTAAACACGAGTAAGAGGAGAAAAGAAATCGCGAAACCACCGGAGCAATATTTTTTTCCATAGCAATTCTGCAATTTAGTGCAATTCTACTTCACCCCGATTTTCTTCATCCTTCGTACTCTCGAGAATATTTTAATTCGCATAACTGCCGATGTTCGCGTCACATTACGCTTTTTCAATGGGAATCTCTTTGAAACCGAAAATTTCGTTTTGGGTAAAATTATAAAATTGTAGATTATATTATATATATATATATATATGTATTTTTAAAAATTGTTTAATTAAATTCTGACTATACTAAAAGAAGAATAAATTATGACATTAGAAAACAAATTTGAAGAAAGGAAAATTTGATATGTATTATTAAAAAGTCATTTCTCTTGCAGTCATATGAAGAAAAATATTGGAATATTTATATATTATCGATCGTGTACTTTTAGGTATGTTGAAAATAACAAGGAAATAAGTAAAATTTGATTATAGGTCATTCTTTTTACCTCGAACATGACGAATCCTCGCAATGTCACTGGAGAGCAAATGGGAGCTTATTTCGGTTACGCCGTTGCTTCCGGCGATATCGATGGCGATGGGTTAGACGATCTTATAGTTGGTGCGCCTATGTACACGGTACCAGATAACCCGGAAATGACCATCGAGACCGGAAGAGTGTACGTGATCTATCAAAGCGTTGGACCTGAAAAGTTCCGCAAAATTGACTCTAGGTATTTTATTCCACTTATTATTATCTTTTTATTAAATCTAAGCCTTATTCTTATTTCCAATCGCTCCCAATTTTTTCCTTTTTTTTTAATAATCTTATCGATAAAAAAGATTATTCGAAAAAATAATAACGATGTAAATAAATAAATCGATCGAAGGAATAGCGACGAAGTCACTATAGTATTCGGAAAAATTGTCAAAATAGTAAATTATCGAAATAAAAAATAACGAAGCATTTTAATAAATTATTCGAATAAACAATAATGCAATAACGATAAAATATTCGAACAAATCAGTGGAATAAAGAACAATAAAATATTCGGTCAAATTGTCGAAACTAAAAATATCGAAACATTTGAATAAATTATTCGAAGAAATAATAACGAAATATCCAAAAGAATTATTCGAATAAGTATTTAAGTATTCGAATAAATGATTAAATAAACAATTTAATAAGATAAAAATACAAGACATAACAAAAATGTGGGTAGAATGGACAATAATATACGAGAGCTTTTAAACGAATAACTAAAAATATATTTCAATTAAATTATTTTTAAAATATATTTCAATTAAATTATTTAAAATAATAAAATTTATAATAAAATATTAATCTAATAATAAAATAATAATATTTGAAATAATACAAACACTGCACTTTTTCTAGAAGTTTCTTTCTATCACTCACTCACTCACTCTTAATAATTTTAATTTTAATAATTTTAATAATTTTAATTAATTTTACCTGTTCACTCTTTCTTGTTTCTCAGACAACTGTTTCATTCTCATGTATTCTGCTAAACATTCTTTCAAATATCATTCACACGTATATATATTATTATTATTTTATTTATAAACGGACCATAGTCCATTTACATAAAATTTCACATATAAAAGAAAAGCAAACAAATTACACATAATATAACACCGAAGAGACGTGCTTATAAACGCTTTGTTCAGGAGAAACAGCTTTGATCAATAATCATCCGTAATTATCTTTTGAATGTTTATAAAGACCAATAAAAAAATCTATACGATTATAAAGAGTGTTTGAGTCAGTAATAATACGATAAATTGGATTAATTAATCCATATGTAGATCTGGACATATGTATATGAAAACCTGCTCTAGATCTCGATACACGTTCTGGCACGTAGAAATTAATTTGCGTAAAAAGAGAGGAGCAGTCATTGTGATTATTAATTAAATTAAAGATAAAACTATGGTCAGCTATTCTCCTTCGTGCAGACAATGTTTTATATTTATATTTATATTTCTTTTATATATATGCACAATTATAGGACAAACGAGTTTCACTCATTCAAAAAACACAAAAGGGTTCGCTCATTTCAACAATTTGAATAACCATTCGTCACGAGTAATCAACTATATCAAGCACACGATATTTACCTATAAACAACCTCACCTGTTCACCACCATTCATATCAACTTACCCAAACATCCATCCGAAGCACCTCGAACAATCTCCACCACCGCCGGTACCAAAGATACGCTATCCCACGGAACGAGCGAACCCCTGAATCCCCCTGATCCATACCTCGGGCCCATTGGCGAAGGTCCGAAGGATCAAGCAGAAACTCGAGCACACACGCGGATCGTTGAACTCCGCGATAATTGCTTATCGTTATCCAGGGACGGGGAAAGCAACCGTGGCCGATTCGGCTTGTCATTGGCCACTCTGGGGGACATCGACCGTGACGGGTACGGCGACTTCGTGGTGGGTGCTCCTTACGGTGGTCTACGTGGTCACGGCGCCGTGTACATCTACAACGGTTCGCCGACCGGCGTGCAGGAAAAATACTCGCAGGTGATCTACGCTGAGAACCTCGACGTGCCGATGGAGACCTTCGGGTTTTCCGTGGCTGGTGGCCTGGATCTCGAAGGGAATAATTACCCCGACCTCGTGGTAGGCGCCTATGAGTCTGGCACCGCTGCGTTCTTCAGGTCCAGGCCGGTCATTCAGGTGGACTCTTACGTGTCGTTCGATCTAGAGTCGAAGCTGATCTCGCTGGATGACAGGAATTGCACGCTGTCCGACAGGAGCAGGGTTACCTGTCTGCCTCTCAGGGCTTGCTTCAAGTACACAGGGGAGGGCGTGGGCCCTGCGCACCGCTTCGACGTACAGTACGTCCTGGACGTGAAGAAGACCAAGAACCCCAGACTGTTCTTCTTGGAGCTGGAGGGGAAGAATACTATGAAACGCATGATCCGGGTGGAACAGAATCAACAGTTATGTCACACTGTGCAGGTGAATAATTTTGCTTTCGGTTTGAGAACCACTGTTTAGTCGTCGTCCTTCTTAACGTTAGAGTTAGATCTAACGATCTCTAGCGAGTTATTAAATCTGTGGATATGAAGATAAGGGAAGAAGTATACGTATATAGGGTGGGTTACCACATATTGTCATCTACATATATTATTATTATTTTTTATTATGTAGTCGTTTTGCTACCACCTAACAATCCTATAATTTTTATTTATTTTTCCATCGATTATATTTTTCTTCATTTCCTACAAAATGGATACGAATTTTTATTTAGATGGAACTTTAATTTTACAGGATGGATCAGCACATATTGCCATCTAGATATATGTTGTTATTATTTTTTATTATCTATCACTGTCGTTTTGTTGCCATCTAACAATCCTCTAGTCTTTATTTATTTTTCCATCGATTATATTTTTCATCATTTCCGACAAAATGATTACGAATTTTTATATAGATGGAACTTTAATTATACAGGGTGGGTCAGCACATATTGTCATCTAGATATATGTCGTTATTATTTTTTATTATCTATCACCGTCGTTTTGCTGCCACCTAATAATTCTACAGTCTTTATTATTTATTTTTTCTTTATTATATATTATTTATTTTTCCAACAATTATATTTTTCATCATTTCGTGAACATAACATTATTGTAATGTAGCATGTGATGTAGAAAATTATCACATTGAGTTCATAATATTAACCATAAAGTCAAAATTTCCTACCAACATTAAAATTAAAATATACCCTAAACTAATGATTTTTTAACATAAATAGGTTAACACTTTTTTGCAAAGAATGTGAGGGAGCATCAGTTAATACAATAAAAAGTATATGATTCTAGTTATAAAAATATTAATAACCTTCGTATACCCTTTACACACGCCTTTGCACCCTGTCTTCTGTCATACTCATGCTCCCTCTCTCAATCGCGCGTTTCTCAGGCACTCCTCACAGCCTTGCACTCGGTGGGTCACGTATCCTAAACACTCAGACGCATGCCTAGGCTTTTACTCTGCACTTGCATTCGACATCATAAATATCCCATTCGTGCGATCCTTGAACGTGGTCACTCGTCCTTCCGCACGCATGACACTCGATGACTCTCTGAACGCTCGAACCAAACTCGAGATGGCAGTTTATTATGCTCCATTTTCGAGAAATGGCTCAAGCGTTCCCATGCACTCTGCAGTCGTACCTACGCAAAAGGTACTGTCACTTGCGGTGACCTTATGCCCTAATCATGCCGCACTCACCATTCCCACAAGACCTTCTTCGAAACTTCGACTAACACCTTTCCAATTGTTCACCTCGCCAAACCCCAGATCGCTGTTTATTATCCTCTATTTTTGAGGAACGGACCAAGGGTTCCCATGAACTCTGCAGTCGTATCTACGCAAAAGGTACTGTCACAGACGGTGACCTTTACCATTTGAGTCCCAAGCAGCGCTTGAGACTTTCGGAAGAACACGGTCGAAAAATCCTGAACAGCGCGATAACGCTTGCCTTAATCGAGTGCGAAGAAGTTCAAACGGTGCGATAGCGCTTGTTTAATTTTATGTCGAGAAATCCCAATCGTCGCAATAGCGCTTGTTGATAATATGTGACGTACACGCATCAACAAAGTTGAGCGCGATCGCGCTGCTTGGGACACGAACGGTTAATTACGCCACGCTCGTCATTTCTATAAGACCTTCGAAACTTCGACTAACACCTTGGCAAAGTGCAATTGTTCACCTCGGCAAAACCGTTTGCACCTAAAAATAAAAGAAGACCTGTCTCTAAAGTTTGCAAAATTATCCACAGGTCTACGTGACACCAAACATCCGAGACAAGTTGACATCCCTGGACGCCGAAATGAGGATAAGTCTCCACGAGGTAGGCTTCAGGCAACAAAACCGAGCAAGGAACCCCACGGATCCCTTGGACCCCATTCTCGGCTCGACGTCGTCCAGGAAGGACTCTTTGTTCATCAGAAAGAACTGCGGCCCAGACAACGTCTGCATCCCCGATCTCCAGATGAAGGTGGCGTCGAACGTGCAGAAGTACCTGCTGGGCTCTGGCAAACGGCTCGAACTAGACGTCCTCGTGCACAACATGGGCGAGGATGCATTCGAGGCGACGTACAACTTGAAGCTACCCACCGGGATCGATTACATCAAGGTGGAGAAGATAGAGACCATGGGGGTGCCTGTGCAATGCTCCGCGCCCAAACAGACGAACAACAACACCCTTCGTTGCGATATCGGGAATCCATTACAGAAGAACGGACTGGTGAAGTTCAAGGTGCTGCTGCAACCTGTCACGTCTCACGGGATGAAACCCATCTACGAGTTCGAGATGAACGTGAACACGACCAATCCCGAGAATCCGTCCACCACAGACGACAACGCGTATGCCCTGAAGCTGCCAATCTGGATCGAGACTGATCTACGAGTGGATGGCGAGAGCAAACCGAAGGATCTGTATTACAATCCGGATAATTATACCCTGGACGCGAACGCCAGCACCGAGGCGGAGTTCGGACCTGCTATGACGCACAATTATACTATTAGGAACCAGGGTCCGTCGGATGTCATCGAGGCGGAGGCTTTTCTCATTTGGCCTGCGCAAACCTTGGCTGGGAACGAGCTACTCTATTTGCTTGAACAGCCTGAAACTTCTGGACCCATCGTCTGCGAGTCTGCCAATGCGAATTACCTTAGTCTGCAGGTATGGCTGCTGGATGGGTAGGGATACCGTGCAGAGCTGAGAAGGAGACGAGTCTAATTGGATAGATGTCATAGATACGTCTTCTTTTGTGTAATTATAAATTGGATAGGCAAAGTCTTGTAATTGGTTGACAGTTGGTAGACATTATTGACAGACAATTGGTAGAAATTTTGTAATTAGGTCGTATTTGGAGGTCATAATTAAATTACGTAGTAATGTAGCATGTAATTAAGTCATAATTGAATTATGTAGCATTATAGAATCACTGTTAGGGATCACTGTTAGTCGGAAATGAAAAATGGAAGAATGTCAATGCAATTTGTGCTACTACTACGTCTGTATTTGCTGCTATAAATTGGATAGGCGAAGATTTGTAATTGGTAGACATTATTGGCAGACAATTGGTAGAAATTTTGTAATTAGGTCATAATTGAATTATGTAGCATTATAGAATCACTGCTAGGGATCACTGTTAGTCGGAAATGAAAAATGGAAGAATGTCAAGGTAATTTGTGCTACTACTACATCTATATTTGCTGCCATAAATTGGATAAGCCAAGTGTTGTAATTGGTTGACAGTTGGTAGACATTATTAACTGACAATTGGTAGACATTTTGTAATTAGGTTATATTTGAAGGTTATAATTAAATTACATAGCAATGTAGCATGTCATTAGGTCATAATTGAATTACGTAGCATTATAGAATCACTGTTAGGGACAACTGTTAGTCGAAAATGAAAGATGGAAGTATGTCAGTGTAATTCGTGCTACTACTACATATGTATTTGCTACTATAAATTGGATAGGCGAAGTTTTGTAATTGGTTGACAGTTGGTAGACATTATTGACAGATAATTGGTAGAAATTTTGTAATTAGGTCGTATTTGGAAGTCATAATTAAATTACGTAGTAATATAGCATGTAATTAAGTCATAATTGAATTATGTAGCATTATAGAATCACTGTTAGGGATCACTGTTAGTCGGAAATGAAAAATGGAAGAATGTCAATGCAATTTGTGCTACTACTACGTCTGTATTTGCTGCTATAAATTGGATAGGCGAAGATTTGTAATTGGTAGACATTATTGGCAGACAATTGGTAGAAATTTTGTAATTAGAGCATAATTGAATTACGTAGCATTATAGAATCACTATTAGAGATCACTGTTAGTCGAAAATGAAAGATGAAAGAATGTCAATGTAATTTATGCTACTACTGTGTCTGTATTTCCTGCCAAGAATTTTGTTGTCAAGTTCTTGACAGCATCGAGGTATCCTCGTGTTTCTCTTCAGCTCTGCATAATAATTCGTTGATATTATGAATTCAGAGGAAACGATGAATGACGAGATTCACAATATTCTCGTGTCTCTTTCAGTTGGACAAACGCAGAAAGGTGTACTCGCACCACGCGGAACCATCTGGAGTGTACCTGCACGAGTCGGGCAAGACGATCAACGTGCAACGGGAATTCGGTATCAAACCAGAAGTTCTAATCACGTCGCAGAATAACTCGGGAGTGAGTACCATAAGCACCGGAGACCTGTCTTCAGGCAACACTGGCATGAGCTTCCATATGGAATCTGGCAGTCATGGAAGCACTGTGGGCACTTTGGGCAGTGGTTTCCGGACCAGCGATGCCAGCACTTTGGGTGCAAAGGAACCTGACTTCGAAGGCCGGCTGTTGCATCAATCTCGCAACAATTCTGGAGCCTACGAGAACCGCTGGAATGTTGAAAGTAATGCTTCTGCGAATCACTTTGACAGATTTCGCTCTGAATCGAACGCGAGCGACGAAGGATACCAGGAATGGATGAGACACGTGCTGGAGCAAGAGGCACAACGTCGACACGATGAAGAGTTCAAGAGACAACGAGAGGAACAGGAACGTTTGGATTATGAAATGCGACAGAAAGAGGAGGAAAGAAAGTTTCGAAAGGAGGAGTTGAGGAGGCAGTACGAGGAGAAACGAAGGAAACAGGAGGGAGAGGTGGAACGAAGAAGACAAGAGGAAGAGGAGGAACGAAGAAGACAAGAGGAAGAGGAGGAACGAAGAAGACAGGAGGAAGAGGGGGAACGAAGAAGAATGGAGGAACAGGAGATACGAAGGAGACAGTGGGAAGAGGAGATGCGAAAGAGGCAAGAGGAGGAACAGAGAAGAATACAGGAAGAGACGAGTAGACGTTACGAAGCTTCTTCTAGAGGATATGGCGGTGGACAGGGTAGGTTGATCAGTGGTGATAGAGAGGAAACTATTCGGCCAGGAGAATTCGGATTCCAGCTGCGTAACGTTAGCTCCACGCAGGATCTTGAACGATTATTCGGATCCTTATCGAAATCAGCGAGTGGCTATGAGCTGTACCAGAGACAGGGCAAGCATTATGTTCAATTTATGGGGCGATTTAGAACATCTCCTGATGAGAGAGAGTTCATAGAATTCCAGGATGGCTCTACGTTTCCTCTTCAGAACAGTTACGGTAGTCAGAGCTATAGCTCAGGCTCTGCTGGGCCTACGGACAGCAAATTCTTGAGGATAGAGGGTGAATTTTTCATCGATTCAAATGGGAGGAGGTACATTGTGCTTAACGATGGTCGTAGGTTCCCTCTACAGGGTTCCTTCACCTATACCGAAGAAAGAACGTACACGTTGGATCCACGTGGCTACCAAGGAGGTAGGACAGGTAGTAATTACGAATCGAGAAATTATAGTCATTCTTGGAACGAAGGGCCTAGGCAAGATGGTGGCATAGAAAGGGAACACGAGACCCAGTATACCAGTACTCACGAGGAAAGGAGAACAGAGGAAAGAAAGGTGACTAGCAGGGTCTATGGAAGAGACAATCGCGAAACCTTCGAAGAGGGTGCATCGACTAGGGTTCCCAACACTAACGAAGGCTCCAGGTTGAAGAGAGAAAGCGACATGATTAGCGTAAAGGAGTTCAAGAAGTTCGAGAAACTTCACAGAATACCTAGGGACCTGGACAAAGACCCTATGATCCCCCAGGGCGAAGTTGACGACACTGTGGATGACGAGAGTGATCCTAAGTCACAGGGATCGATTGGCCACTGTGACAGTGCCAAGTGTGTCGCACTGAAATGCGTTTTGGGTCCCCTGAAGAAAGATCAGGAGGTCTGGATTGTGGCTAGGTACAGGGTAGACGCGAGGACACTAAAGAAGGTGACTCTTCAGGAGAAAGTCATGGTCTCGACTAAATTGGTAGCTAAGGTCACGAAGCAGCCGTACATTGGTGCACCTGCTGAACAGATGATGAGGAGCCATGAAATTAAGACAAACGTCGAACCAAGTATAACGCCATCTGTGCCGGATGTTATTCCACTATGGGTTGTGGTGCTCTCTGCCTGTGCTGGAACGATCATCCTACTGCTGCTTATTTTCTTGCTACACAAGGTTTGTTTATGCAAATTGATCCCCATAGGTTTATGTAAGATACTGTACTTGATGAAGATATTGAGGTCTGCTTGTTGAATCTGCAGAGTGTAACTGCTGAAATTCCCCATGAGAAACGTTTGTATTCTGCTCTTGTTTTTGGACACAATATTTTACAGCTGATTTTTTATCCCAGTAAATGAAAAATTAGAAGGATTAGGTGTCTCTAGAAATGTAATAATTATACTTGGTGGAGCTTGTTAACTTCAGAATTGAATTATTTGTTTCTGGTACATGAAAGTGTTCATTTTTAATACAGTATAAGCAGCTTTCACACCCGATACTTTGTTTGAAGAAAAAAAAAAAAAAAAGATGAAAAATAATGGTGAAAGAATTTCTCAATGCTACACAAGTACATTGTCTTGTATACTAATATGTAATAATGCTAATAAAAATTTGTGGGTTCATTATTTAAAGTAGACAATTGAAGCCTTTATCTTCAGATTCAAAATTCAAATTTCCCAATAATTTTTATGATACAGATACAAATCTTTTATTTAAATTGGTAAGAAAATAAAAATTCTAGCTTTGTAGGTGATTGAAAAATATTCATGTAACAATGCTTCCTTCAAAAGATTCGTTTACTGAAGGATACATGAAAGACATATGGAATAGTGCTCATGAAAATGAAATTAATGAATAAAATGGAATTGAACACTAAAATACCTTTCTTCCACAGTGCGGATTCTTCAAGAGGAACAGACCGTCTGACGCCCCAGAGAGGGAGCCATTGAACAGGAACGGCGACTTCTAACACGATGGCGATTACTGTAAAAGATTAGCCAAGACTCGACCAGCGGGATCCATTTCCGAAAATCGTCGAACGATCTGAACGAACGAGCCAGGAAGTGCCTTAATCCTCCTCGAATCTCGCGAAGGAGCTGATCTATGCACTGGCTGGGTCACAGCTCGTCACACGAGCAACGAGACTAACTGTAATTAACAAAATCGCGAGTGCCTTTAATCTCCAGGCCAGAACAGGCAAACTGCGAACAACCATTTGCAGAAACGAGGTTCTGGAGCGATTCTGCGATTATTTTTTACTGCCACTGAATACTCCTTCCAGCTCCTGCAGCTCGATCATGCAAGTTTCTAGTCAGGAGACGTTCTTTTTTTCCCTTTCTCTTAATTATTATTATACTCTCCTCTTCTCCCTCTTCTTTTTCCAATTGTCTGTAATTTACTTAAGCCATTCGCTCGTCGATTGTAACGAGCAATAACGATCGAACTGCCTCGATGATGTGGAGATTGAAAGAAAAATAGTCCGCAGAAATGCCTTGCTATTTATACGTTGGAGAATAGGTTGCACTTTTGTACTCCGTTTTAGAGCTTATCGTTACTTATCCTTCCCTCGAGAAAACGTTTGCGTGCGAAGAATTCTGTAAAACATGGCGACCGAAGGGGAAACGATTTATTTCTGATTTTATTCGACGGAATTGTGTACAAACGATAATTTGCTTCTTGCGATCCAAACAATTGCGAAATAGTTCGAGATTGCCGAGATAACTGTCCAGTTTTGTGCATTGTAAATATACGACGGTATATTCAGGCTTTTCTGCTGAGATGCTCAGTATGTCGATGTAATTCTGGTTTCCATTGGTAAGGACGTTTAATCGGCCTGAATGCTTCGAGATTCACGTCGACAGGGATCTCATTCATCGACAGTCGATTTACGTTTTCTCTCCACTATTTTCTTGTTTTTTTAACGAGCTCGAGAACGGGAGTTTTCGATTATTTATTTGAAATTTCTACATTATTATATGTATATGTATAACGTATGATAGAGCGCTGTAACATGTAACCGGGGCTTGCCCTGGCTGTATGTGTGTACAATCTTGTAAATTATTAATTGTATTACTAAAACCGTTCAGAAAATAACTAGCTAATGCAAATTAATAATTGTGTAGAGAACAAACGAATTCCCGGATAAGCGGGAAGGTAGGAACTGACTTGTACATACAGATTTAAGATGTAATATTAAAAGAAAAAGAAATATATATATATATATAATATTATTAATATTAAGGATGACACCTTATTTCTAGATGCGATTGAGAAACGAATGTTCAGTAAATTTTAGGAATTAGAAAAAATTTGTAATCCTTTCTCGATGAATCTAATTTATATCTCTTCTTTTTTGCCACTAAATTAATTATTAATCATGGCTGGGTAGATGATGGCAATGTTATCAAATCAGGATGTATGTGGTATATGTGCTTGGAAGAATTCCACTGCCCGCAAAAATCTTTGTAATTGTATCCTTATTTTAGGAAATTCATAGCAAAATGAGCAGAAAGGATTCATTTTTCGTACAATCATTTATTAGAAAAATCACAATGACGTAACAGTAGTAAACATAAAACAAATGCATGATCACCATTAACATCATATTCTCATTGTTCTCACTACGACAGCTGTATAGATCGTTTTCTTTTTTTTTTTTTGTCAGTTTGGAATTAATTTGTTAAGTTACGACGTGCACAAATGATAAGAAAATTGTTCCACATATAAAAAAATATATGTTTCGATAATCTCTTTCGTTCAATAGATTTTTCCCTTATTCTCCATCTTTGTTTTGCTTTTCATTGTCATTGATAAAATATATACAAAAATAATCTATGAGTACAATCATTTTGTAAAATATACTACCATATTTTATTTAATATTTATTTTTTTTTCATTTTTTTTTTTCTTTTTTCTTGCATTTGAAGAGCCTCAAAGTAGAGAAGGACCTTTAGAAAAATTTCTGGTTCTTTCAGTAATTTATTTTACGATCGAGCGAAAATGGTCTGCGTAGATTCGTGAGACGAAATGAAATCCATCACGAGGATGAAGTAAATCTTATAAAAATGTTTTTCCTCTACATCTTTTTCCTTCCTTTTTTCTTCCTTCTCTAGTGAGCTGTCGTTGGACAAAACGTTACAAAAGTCGATATTTAAAAAAAGATACGTATAAAAAAGGAAATCATGAAACGTTTTTACGTTCATACACATATATCCCCTCCAGAATTATAGCTAAAAATACTATTTGTTAATTATATACACGTACTATTAACCCTTCATCGACGAGCGACGTGTAGCATGTGGTCCAATGTCAGTATTATTCGCTATTTGTGTATATCACACACGTCATACTTTGATTTTTGTAAATAAGTTTTCAATCATTGTAAGATCTTTATATACCAATTTGAAGTATTAGAAACGAACCTTCTAATGATATGATTTTTCATTTCGTTTAAATGTTCAGTCTTCTAAATCTAAACGTCTTTCTAAACGTCTAAAAATTTGCCAACTTTCACCATTCTTTCATTCACTAACGAAACTACTCCGTCGTTGAAGGGTTAAAGTGGTTTACCGAGCAGAATGATTTACGTTTGCTTGTTATCTCTCGTTTAGAGTACATTGAAAAATTAAAATAAATATATTCAATGCACCGAAACACACATGTGCTAATGAACAATATGTATGTACAACAATATGTATATACAGCTGCTACCGAACGCGTGCCAGACATTCTGCTCTGATTCTTCCTAGAAAATTACTATCATCGAGACATTTTCTTCCCTTCGAAGCTTTCGCTTGATCTCAATTAGACGGAGGCTAACTAAAAGATTTACGATCCACGGACGATAATTCAGTTACGTTTACGTGATCCAACGATCTCACGAATCGGTGTCGTGAGGTAAGAAAATACTAAACAAGAATGATAATGTAGTTGTACCCGTAATCATTAACACTCGCGACATCATCACCACATTTAACCTTGGAATTTTTCTAGTTTCTATATATGAACGATTGAACTCTTTTTCATACAAAAGAAGTGCATGATTCTGTCGCAAGACGAAGGAATAGACGATATTTCCTAAAGTTTTATCGTTAACCGATTTACGACAATATTCCGAAATCATCGTCTAAACTTCATTGTCGTTGCATGACGTAACTAAATCATGCACTTCTTCCTGAGGGTCATCCTCCGGAACCTGAAGACAGACGAATTAATTGAAGATACTAATTTCAACTATCTATACATAAAACATTATTGAATATTTAAAGTAAATGACCATTCTTACTTTCCATTGTAATTGATTGCCAACGTTGTAAAGCTCCTTCAATGATTCAGACAACTTCGCAGAGCATTTTAACTCTTTGTACTTGCGATACAATTCAAGAGCAGCGCTGGCATCTTCGGCAGAGTCGTGTGTTTCCGACTGAATTTTCTTACCCAAAAAGTGCCACGTAAGGAAACGCAATGACACCATACGATGATGAGGTAAATGAAACAACAACACTGTATCTACGATTTGTTCAGGCGGTACGACTAAATTTATCACCCTGCGAATATCGAGAAAAGGCATATGCAAGATGAATATATTAAAAGCAAAAATTGAGTAATTACCTAAAATCATTTTTTAGGCCGTGACCAACAAATATGATCCCATTATCAACAAGAAACCGCAATTTTTGGTACGTTGACTTTAGAGTGGTCAAGTGTTTGCTGCTGAAGTTTGCATCTAAATCACCAGGTTGAATTCCACTGAATTTTGTCAGATAATCTACTACTTGTTCTTGAGTGCTTATGTAATCATCTATAAAGGGAGTTCCTTCTAGGGGACCCTGCCTATTCAAGAAATTGAAAATATTACACACAAAGCAACAATTCAAGAATATCATTAGCTATAACAATATGAAGAGAATGAAAATCAGAAAAAACTGATAATTAAAAATGATACATACCCACGTATACAAGTGATACGTGCAACAGACATGTGACTTGGTTTTATAGTGGACATTTTTCCATCACTTCGAAGTTCAGCTTCTTCCTGATTCAGTGTTACGAATTCCGCATCAATACCAACTAATTCCCCTAGAAATATAATTTTATGTATTATTAATATTGTATCCTACATCTAAATAATTGTTTTCGAAATTAAATTGACACCTTTTTTAGGCATTTCGTCGGATGTCAACGGAGTAAATGTGATACCCCTAGTTCCTCCACTACGAGCAATACATTTATCTTCACCAAACACGTCATAGGTAAGAGGACTGACAAACGGTGCTGCTTCAGGTGCTGGCACAGCCGTGTAATGAAGTACACATGGGACTTTCCAATCAAGATTGAACCATACCGCCTCTTGCGGAGTCACTGCGGATATACTAGATGAAATAGAAAATTTTTCACAGCAAGTTAAAATTTAACGCTATGAAATAATCGCAAAAAATAAGATTTACATTTACAACATTTATATGTACCAGAGAACCTAAAATCTTTCCGTACCAAACTATAATCCATATAATTCTTCGTTAATTATTTTATTGTTTTTTAGCCAAAAGACTAAATTATATTTACATACCAAAAGTCATTAAAAATGTACCACTGCGACACTGCACTGCCAGATGATCGTTCATGATAACTTGGACCAACTCGTAACAGAGCAACGATATTTCTTCTGTCTTCGTTACTCTTATCATCGATGTAACAAACAACGGCATTAAGGCTGTACTGAACTTTACTTATTTTATCCAAATTCTCATCAATTTTGTTTTCTTTCTCTATATCCTCGTTATAAAGTTCCGTATTAATGTGATTTTCAGTCTCTTGGTCCTCGAAATCATTCTCAGGAATCTCAGAATCTTGTACCTTATTATCACCCTGTCCATTTTCTATTATGATCTCCTCGGTCGATTTTCTACTTTCATTGAGATTAATCTCCGGACTACTAATCTTTTCCACGAATAATTCACCGCTATTGCTTAAAGAAATTTCTATATTGTGTGGTATCCATGAATGAGAATAGTACAAGTGACTAGGTGGTGTCGCAACCGATGTTGAAATTGTTGTGGGAGGAGTGACCGGTGGCGTTGATATATTTTCTAATAAAATATTAAAGTAAAGAAATCGAAAATATCAAATATCAGAAGATTAACGAAGATACTGACGCATATAAGATAGACCATAGTACCTGGATCTCTACCAATGTGCCTAAATCTACAACCAATTCGGGTACAATTGTTACCGTATCGACAAGGTTTCACGGTAATGGGGACAGGACTTAAAGATGGGCTACTTTCTTTGTCGCTTAATATTTTCTTAACTACTATGTCCATTTGAGTTTGCCAAAATGCTTTATCCTAAAATGACAATAATTTTTAAACGTTACAAACCACCGCTGTATACTTGCAGTCTAAAACTGCTAAATTTTCATGTAATGTGCATATAAATATGTGTTGAATACCTGTTGTGTATCTAAACCACAGTTCAAAGCCAATATTTGAGGTAGTTTAGTCAACTGTCGAGATTGGAGGGTAGGTGTAAATTTCTGACAATTATCGCACCATGCAGGTGTAATTTTCTCGGGTCTTAAACTGCGGGCAAGAACACTCGTAAATGGAACCTCTTCTGCTATAATGGATAAAAATTCATTTTTAATTCGATGTAGATATCGAACGTACGTATAATCTAAGATATGACTTACAAGGATGTACTAATTCCGGATAAACTAAATTACATAGCAACATGATGGAATGTTTTGTAGCTTCTTGCTCACATTTCAGACAACGGTGTATGTGCATTTGATCCGATCCAAACAGTCGACTGATTTCTGTTTCTTCGTCTCGTACCTCGCTTTCTTCCACAGACTTTCTATTGTTTTTATCTGTTCACAATAAACAAATATTTAGGATTACTTGAACATCAATTTGCATTGAAAAGTTTATACGTAATTATAATACTTAGATTAATAATAAAAATTTATGGAAAATATATGTAATATAATTAATGCTCTTTCATAAAAACTTATTTACTACTGTACTACTAAATAAGATGTTTCAGGAAAACGCTATTTGTATCAGCAATATCTACACTTAATAAAATTATTTACTATCAATAACAAAGTATCTCCGATTTTTACAAAAATTTGTATTGCTACAATAGAAGATATATTAAAATTAAATTCGACTTTTAAGTTCAAAGTGATAAAAACAGTGATATTAAAATAGGAATACATAACTCGTTTAAATTATTCTGAAGTGATCTATTTTTTGAGAACTACTAATTAAAAGTTTAATAGGTATATTAAGAGTTAAAGTATTGCGAATACAAATAGAATTTTTACAAATAGGCCATGCATTCATGGAAAACAATGTCTTCTTTCCTCTAAAAAAAAGAACAGAAAGCGTAAGTAAAACGAAATATAAAAAGAAAAAACAAAAAGCTCTCTACAGAAATATAGAATAATAAAAGAAGAAAGTATTACTAGAATGCAAATATAAAAATATGCTTGTTTGGTTAAAGAAAAGAAGAAAATAATGTTATATTGGTCAAGTAAGAGCACGAAATATACAAAATGAAAAATAAACACAAAAGTGCCCAATAAAAAGGATACACGTGAATTGTGTTTACCTTTCGACGTGATCCACATATATTTACCATTCTTCCCTTGCTTCCGCCTCTTTTTCCTTTCTTCCGCATGACTTCTATATCGAGAACCGATATCCTGCAAAATGCTAGGGAAATCCTGCTCGTTATAGACGAATAGCGGACATTTTGGTCCTGTTTTAAGTCGAGCTGCTTCTTCTTCCTCTTGCTGTCGTTTTCTTGTTTCAAGAATTTCATAATGGATCTGATGTAATATAAACCTGTTCCAACTCTGAAATTTAACAATACCATTAATCTACTGATATTTATTCAGCAATTTGTTTCTATGAAAAACAAGTTTCGTGGAATTCTAAATTATTATTTAATGTTAACAAAAAAATCTAAATAGCAAGTTTATTTATTACATATATATACAGTAAATGTTTATAGATACAGATCAATACATCATTCTTCTTTCAGCCTGAATCCTAATATAGTAAATCAGGAAAGTATATTGGATGGGTAATAGAAGAGTTATCAAATATTTATATAAAATAGTCACTTATGATAAGTATAATTAATGGATAATTATAATAATTAGCACTAAAACATCTAAAATTCGACTAATGTTTTGCAGGCAATCATACTGATGTTGAGTAACACTTGCAAAGTGTACTTTTGTCATGGAAAAGTTGTTTATTGGCTAGAATCAATAAACTTGTCGTGCTTAGTTGGTTCCACTTCTTTGTTTTTGTTACAGAACGTCGTCCCTTTCTATACAAATATGATTAGTTCAAGATCGGCTTGGAGCCGTGACGTTCGATAAGGACGTTTATAAATAATTAGTTAACATTGTGCATCACACCCTCTGGGAACAATGTATCTAAACTTAAGCATTTGAAAGCATACCTGTATCAATCTTATCAAATTTGTTTTCCTTTTCGCCTCCGGATGGAGGTCACTGAGTATAAGTCCCAAAGCTGCCGCTTCAGGGACTGTTCTAAAAGCACGAAGGAAATTAGCCGCTTGGCAAGGCAGTCCGCGGGATGTGTCCAGCATATGAAATAAGAATCCTAGCTCGCAGGACAAGCAGAATTCTCTTTGGCATGAATGGGAGAGCAACGTTATTCTCACGGGTTCGCAATAGTAAAGTAACTGGAAAACACGTAATAGAGATGAGTGTTGGGCAAAGTGAATTTCTTTCCCTGAAAGAATAATAAGGCTCTTGCAGATCTGTCATACTGATCTAACTGCACTTACCTGCAACATAGCGTTACAATAGCTGTTGGGAAGCGTGGCTTCGAGACCGCAGAAGCTGGTGTAATTATACTGATCGAAATCAAACTCATCGTAACCGAGTCGTGAGTATTTCACCTCAATTTTACGATAACGTTTAGGTATGGCCACAAAGGTGCCGTCATCTGTTTTAGATCGTGAGTCCCCCGCGAAAAGCTTTGCGACTACTCCCCGTCGTTTTTCCAAATTGTAAGGTATCTGTAAAAGAGGTATTATTTATTTTTCTTTAATCAATCGAACGTCTTTTGTTTTCTATTTTTTTCTTTTTTCCTTTTTTTTCTCTTTTGGGATTGTTTATCAACGCGAATTATATGCGGATGAATACTCTTGCTTGTTATAATTACACTGCGATGCATTTATATGAACACGATTTGGACCGTGAAAAAATAAATAATACCTATAGAATACGCGTGGGACCGAGCCAATAAGTTAGGCTTACGTGTATGTCTTACAACCTTTATTTCACTCAAATACAACTTCGATTATTACATCTTTGAAAAATATATTCTATATAGGCACTAGATATACTAAAACTATCGATTATTGAGCACAAAATCATTAAACGTAAACAACCATTTAAATGAAATGCATCGATTACACACGCATTGTGCTTCAACGCGAAATTAAAGGCAGTAAATAGTTTTTCTTTTTCTTTTCTTTTTGTTTTATTTATCATTCACGCTGTTTCTTGAGATGCAAAACTTTGAAATTTGAAATAACGATACGAAATTATCATAAATTTCGCGATTCTCAACCGTAGAAAATCGCAGCGGTCGGTTCGCAGTACGATAAGGTGAAAATAATTACTTTAAATGCACATTTTTGAAGAAATGTTAAGCGACTTTTATAGCTATTACAATTTTAAAGTTGAGATTTTTTATTTTTTAGCAATTCATAAAAAATTAAAACTCTCAAATTTATTAGTATTCCGAATTCCATGCCACAAGTTGATGGAAAATTATATTCCTAATACAAAGATTATAAGTGACATATTTTCCTTATTTTTCGTTTCTAAAATAGGTGGAAATTCAAATTATTCCAAAGTCAGACCTATATAGAGCGTATTTTAAATAATTCGCAGGGTTATATCACGAATTATGCAATGCCATTACATGCATGTACACCAGTTTTGATGTACGTTCATAATTCCTAGATTGGCACATTGAAGAAATCGAGGTAAATGCAGCCACTACCCTTCAATAACTGTAACTGTACACAGCCATTAAAGTGCTATTGTTATATGGAGTTTAAAATAAAGATAAAATAAAATAAATGTTTCTCAGCCTTTCAAAGATGTTCATTTAAGCAAAATTACTCTGAAAAATTCAAATGATTCAAGACAGAATCACTAATGTTTATACTCTTTAATAGGAATCTACATATCGTATTTTTATCAATCATAATGAGATTAAGTAGATTATTATTATATCATACCTCTGATCAGATATTTCTCTTAAATATGTTTTTGTTTATAAATATAACAGTATTATTCTAATAAAAATTCACATTAACAGAAGTTAGGAAAAAAAGAGTTGAATATTACACGTATTCAGTGTCCTATTTAGGTCTTTTTCTCTCATACACATTAACATAGAGAAAATTATTAGAATACTGTGGACTAGCTTATGAAAATATATCACGTTTTTTTAACATTGATCATGGACTACAATATTTATCACGAAATGTCATCAGTCTTAAATCACATGGTATCAATGGTTTCTCTATAAAAGTAAAAAATTCAATCGTATTGAGCTCGAATTTCTTTTCCGATTAACTGCATGAATTTATACATGAAGATTATACCACTGAAACTGTAATGAAATCACTAACAGCATATGCTTCTTAGGTATGCAATGTAATCAATATTATCTGTATAACTGATTCAATTAATAACACACTACATGTATCAACACATATGGAATATACAACTGTAATCAATTATAACCATACATTCCATAAAAAAACTAAAACATTAAAATGTCTCAGGAACAATTTAAACAATATAAAGTTAAAGATAAATGGAGGTTGTTCACAATGTTCAGTAGTGATAATTGGTTATGCCTTATCACTTCATTGTGATGTAACTAGCAACAAGAAAGTCAAACATCAAGACTAACATAATTCTTACACAATCTTAAGCAGGAATCATGGCTGACACTCTGTGAATGGAGAACAGGAAATTTACATTTTAGGAGAGCTTTAGGAGAGTTGGAGAAGAATATTGTAGAAGAGTGGGAGAATATTGTTTCCTCACTTGATTTCTCCGAAATGCCTGAGGATTTGGGGCATAACCTATAGTTCCTTGCATCTTCATTGTGCGTAGTATTTCAGGATCAATTTGTGGTGTTTTCCTGTAAAAGCATACAAAAAAATTTCAACTTAATTCCTCATTGATCATCATCATTAATTTCATTAAATTTTCATACTTTATATATTTATTTAATTGCAAATTATATTTACCTACCTATAAACTTTTTTCAAATATTCTTCTGGCCAATCACTCAATAGTGGGTGTCCAGTATAAACAATTGGTATTGTACTTAATGGGGTAACATCATCGTTAAATGATATAGATTGAAGTGATTCAACTGGATCGGCAAATTCAGTTGGCCTAAATAAATGAAAACAAAACCATTTTAGCATTTGTTTCATTGTGAAGTACTTGAATTATTTACTTTTTAAATTTAATACATTTACTAACTGAAAAAATGTATTAAACTGAGGCTCAGGTGTATTTGTAGACATTAGGTGTATAGAACCTGCTGAATCTCCAAAACATAGACACTGAGATGTAGAAGATACATGAAATGATAGTATCATTGCACCACCAGTTGCAACCTATCAAAACAAGAAAACTTATACATTTATATAATTGAAGACACCTTTTCCCTGTAAATATTAAATGTAACATTTACCTGATACAAGCATGTCATGGCGGGTTGTACATTAGCATAAATAGTATCAAGAAGTTGCATTTGTCCTAATGGTGATACTACAGCTAAACGACTGGAATAGCTGGGTAGGAACTTCAATAGAAGAGGATATACCACAGTTGTAACAGGACTTAATGCTCTCATTTGTCGCAAGTCATATGCCATTAAGAATCGATCTACTGACAAACCCTGATGACTAAATACAGAAATAAAATTTTAATATAAAATAGTTGCAAAAAAGAAACATTAATGGTCATATTCTAAGCCTCACCTGTTACTAAAACCACAAGTAACAAGGTAATTTCCTTGAACATCGAAATCACTGAGAGAACCACTATGGGTATCGAAAGTATGTTCTATTGATAATGTGTTTGGATCCCTGAGATCAATTCTTCCAGCAGGATTACCACAGCATATAAGCCTGCTATGCTGCCTTAAAATTGCACAACCATGTTCACCTACATGTACCTACAAGTACAAGATAATATCGATACATGTACATATAATTTTATCATTCTACAAACATGTATAAAAACTTACTAATCCAGTCTCTTTTCCTCTGGTTAGATTAAAATCAATTATTTTTTCTTGATGTCCTCCCATAAGTAATCTCGTTGGTGAAATTTGTAGCATGCATTGCATGTCTATCATATTTGATGACCTATAATATCATTTACTTTTGTACTGTATTTTGAATAAGAAAATATTCATAAATTTGTTACATATATCACAAAATTCACATACATATGTGTAAACATTGGAATGCCACGCCTTAACTGACATCTCAATAAACTCTGTGTTAGGATTAAAATTCCCTCATCTAATGGATGAATATGCCGAACTTCTTGTGTGGCATGAACTTGAAATGAGGTGTACTTTTGTAAACCAGCCCCGTAATAAGATGTGACGTGACCCTATGAAGGATTGTTTTTTGTCAATGCACCAGCATTTTTAGTAATTATTTTAAACACTATTTCATTAATCTCTTCATAGTCAAATAACTTAAAAAAAAAATACATATTATTCAATAAATATCACTAGAGCAACATGGTTTTGATGCTATTTTAATGGTACGAGTTACACAAAGTAAAGAGAGTTAACAAAATAATTTATTAGTTGCACCTATAACACTAAATCTTATAATACCCCTTGATTCCCTATCCACATAAGTTCTTCAACATTGTCAAAAGTGGCAGTGGAAACTCCAAATCTATCTCCTCCATCCGCAAGTAAAGTACGAGTTTCATGAAACTCAGCTCCCGCAAAATCTTCTCCAAATTGCTCAGTTGCAGGTACATATTCATCACCAGGTAAAACATAATTTGATTCTTCCCCTGTAATGAAAGATGACAAAAAGTTGATAATAAAATTTCACAATGTTGTTTCAATATCAGTAAAAGTATTAAACATAACTTGTGATAACATTTCAATATCAAATATAGGTTACTGATTATTAACGTTGATAATATTTTGTATCATTGTTTGTGTGAGAGGTTTAATATTTAAGCTTGAACAAGTGAGACTGAATTTCACATTCAAAACAGCAACGTCACAGCTGATTTAGATCGCATGCCTAACCCATGAATTTTGCAAGATCGTTCAGAGTCGAACAGCTGATCGAAACTAAACATCACGCTTCGAAAACAGCGGAAAGAGAGGGAGTAGCCAATAACGGATCATTGAATTGGCGGACAAGAATTAATGAGACAAAAGATATCGTGTGATACTAACGGCTAGTAGGACACCAGATCGCGCATCATGATTCGAGCAATGAGTGTCCCAGAACGAAGAGGTTTCGCGCCTTTCTGACTCTTCGAATTTTCGATCGAAAAAATCGAATTGCGATACAACTGAGTTTTTGGCGCCTAGAGAAAAAAGGAAATGCGTTAAAATGAAACATGAAAAGCACTTACAAAGCAGTTCTTGCTCGTCACCGCCGCTATCAGCCGTGGCCTCTACGGACGGGTCGTAGTGGCCTAAAACCGGATAGTCCATAATATTCCCGTCTTCAGGCCGTTCGTTTTTGAAACATGGAATTGCCGTTGGAACGAAGATAGCCGTGGAATCGCTGTCCCGATGATCGTTCTCTTTTCATAGCACACTTTTGGACACGCACACGCACGCACCTTAGTCGCCTTGGCAACTGTGCAACAAGCGAAACACTTCGTCACAAATATTCACTCTTATCTCGTTATTACACGATCCAAATGGTGAAAAGTATAATTAACATAACACCTACTGCACTCCTTTACCACGATTTGTAGACCGACCCATTTATCGAGGTACCTTTAATTCATGATTCCACTTTTCTGCGCGTTTCACCCGTGCAATACTGTATGACGGCCTTGAAGGTGGCGACACCTGCTGCTTCGCGCGTAAAACAGTAACGCCAATGGCAAGGACGTGAAAATCACTAGATTTTATTCGTTTAGTTGTCGTACAAAATGGAGCGAAGGCGCGAAGGTGGGATGAAAATTCGAGGAAAATTGTGTTTAAGAAAGCTACAAATCAATGGTGGTATAAGAAAAGAGGTATGAGACTCGTGTACTTATCGATGCAGCGAATTTTTAGGTATAAAGAATAATTTATCGCGACAGAAGAATTTTCTATTTAAATTTTCCAGTTTGACAGTCTCGACGTTTGAAAAGCATTTGATTCTGCTCATGACGTGCCTTGTGCTACACGAAATTGTAAGTAAAGTAAATAAGTAATACTCCAATTGTATCACCTTGTATCACATTATTGTGAGAATGTTTGAAATGCATTATAAGTTTACGTTGTTAAAATATTGAGATTGGCTATATTTCTAAGCGCTTCAACAATTGGTGCTCTAAAATTATAACGGAATTTGCATGGCGCCATATTGCTATTTTGCTCGTTACGAAAACGAACGAATTTATTTTACGTTACATCGAGCAATTTGAACAATTGTTTTTTTGGCTCGCGTTTTGATAGCATCTCGATTAATATAATACGATAATATCGATACGAAATTAAATAATATAATATAATAATGTACTTTTTTCTTTAAACGACAATTAAGAAATATTAAAAAAATTTGTAAAAATATCGAAATTATTAACATGCTTTAAAAAGAAATACTGCTGTTGGTAATAGTAGTTATAGTACTAACCTTAAATAATTATTACATAATTTCAATTGTTTAATCTTTTTCTTGCAATGTTCGTAGGGAGTATGTTCTTCGTATAGAATAACTCGATTGGAGAATGGAAGAATTTATTTATCAGACATCGATATATGTACATATATATTTCACAATTTATGATTAACATTTTACATATCACGTGGGAAACGATGAAAATCACAGAAGTGTCGAAGTATTCGCTGTTTAAAGAGGTACGACTATTAATATGAAAATACATATCGAAGAATTTCTAACTTTTCCAAAATACGTTCATCTTTTGATTACTTTCACACGATCGTCGCGTTGTATTACAATATCGTATGCGATAAAGTACGAATAAATAAGACGTACCAGGTGCGTTCTTTCATTTTCCATTCCGAGAAAAATTTTACGATTACCTATTCACATAGACGCTTTTTCTACAAATGTATTACCAAAAAAAAAAAAAAAAAAATAAAACCACAGGTAATATTAATTAAAACACACTAAATTAGTCATATTTGAGAAAATGTAAATATATGATTAATTAGTTCCTTGAGATAATCCTTATTGCTTGTTCGATAAAAAAAGAAGAAAATGATGAAAATATTCATTAGTATAGGTGATGTAAAACTCGTTATTTTGTGAATTAGGTTTCTTCATTTCTTTCATTTTCTTTCATTTCTAATCAAACTGTTTTATTTTGTTTTAAGCATATTATTCATTGCATATTTATTATAGGACGAGAAAAATATTAAAATAAAAACAATATGTAAAAATTACCTTATGAAGAACAAAAACGATTAAAATTATGGTTGATGTGAAATCGTAGCAAGATCTGTTGCCTGCAGTAGGAAAAGGTTTCGGAAGATTCTTTGCAAATGCAAAATTTCTATTAAGTTGTCTGAATTTGCAAAATTCGAACAGGAGGAAACAACGATTTTCATTGGAGATCCTTTTGGTGGTGAATTCACGAAGTACTAGGAATTTTAAAAAGTTTCATAAGCATGATCGATGTGCAATATGTAAGACCTACCAAGACAGTTTCACGATGAATTATTCTTCAAGAAAATCTTTTTGCTCTCTTTTACAATGTATTCGAAACGTACCATTCAGTCTGAGACGTGTACCCTGTTATTGTTAACGCGAATGAATTTTCAAAGAATTCAATTGATCGACCTTACTGAAACGAAAGTAAAAAGTAGAGTTAGATTCATCGTTGTATCGTATTTCATGCGAGTTTCTTCCTTTTAGGATATTTGGTGGTACGTTCATTTTTAAATAGTATTCCTTTAACAGTGAAGATAAAAATGTGATAAAATGGTAATGAGTAATTCGTAGATTGGTATAAAATGAAGCATGAAACATGAGGTAGATTTGGAGTTGATAGTTTTAATACATTTTCACTGTTTTTATTTCTAACTAGTTAAGAGAATAATTAATTGTTGTTGCTTAATGGAACTCATTTCTCTTATGGAGAAGCATGATAGTGCTTGAGGAGAAAAATCAGACACATAGAAGCTGAATGAAACATAATTTAGTGCTTTGCTTGGTCCAATAATTTAAATAATTAGTCTCGAATAGGTTAGTACTATTTAGTACATTTGAACATTTAAATATCCAGTAATTCAATTTCATTTTCAATACGTTTAATATATCAATATGGATTTGAAACCGTCCCAATCTATTTCTTCATCGGATCATCAAACTGTTTTCAAAATGTGAACACTCATTGTCAGAAAATTTGAAGGTTTATCTGCCCTCGAATCGTATCGCTACAAATGATAAATTAATTCCCTAATCTCGAAGTTGAAGCTTGGTAAAATAAATGCAATCTCGTACCAATCACAGATAATATACCGATCGTAAGAAACTGGTACCATTTTGGCTTTTTCGTTATATCTTCTCATCGCTACATCATTACCTTTAATGCCTTCGAAGCAGGCGTGTACGATGACGAAGAGCGCTAATGAGAACTCCGATCTCTTCGTCGGACTCGGCTGACTGGCGTCTCGATATCCGATTATTCGGTGTACCACTGACCGAGCCAGGGCTTTGCTTAGACGGTTGCGTTGGGAATGATGATCGACGAATAAGTGGCGGCGGCCTTGCACCTACGGTTCGAATCAGATCCATTTATGTTACACGATACTTTCATACCTGCGAGGTGATCTAATTATATGGCTACCTAATAGGCGTAAAGCTGATCGATTCATTTCAAAAGACCTCTGGCTCTTGATTGGGTACCTCGGTAGGAACCGCCTTTGAATGGGAAGCTCGACCATGGACGTTTTTCTTGAGGTGATACTACCTGCCTTAGACGAGTCCTTATAGGTTTTTTAAACACACATATATATACATGTTCGTATACTAGAGAGGTATTGTATGTTTGGTGTCTATGTTTTATTTATTTACTTTCTACTTGGGTTTGTGACATAAAATAGGGAAAATGCATTTCGGTGCTCGTGAAATCAATCAGTGTAACGTTTCGTTGCATCCACTTTTACAAAAATATGGTTCTACTTGTTAACGTGATACGACATTACGTGTCCATACGTATGCTAGTGTCGTATCGCTACGGAACTTGCATTGCGCTAGTGTTTAACTCGTGTTATACTATGAACTGATTTAATGGCACTTCTACGTCTAGAAATAATTCTCTATTCTATGAAACATTTCGTTTTTTAAATACCTTAGTTCAAGCAATATCTCTGTGCGACTATGAATCTACACAGATTGCAGTTGCAACCAAGAAATTCTATTATCGCTTATTACTATGTATTACTTTCATCGATGATTCTTACTTTATCTATTTACTCTGTTATTTTTTTTTTCATTATTTTTCTCTTTAAACTGATATCCTAGACTAGATTTCTCAAGCGATTCCTCATTTCGAACTTTTCGTTAAACGAGCATCGCTATCTCTGCCTCTTAAATGTACCTGTAACGTATCTACACTGATTGGATTTGCAACCACGAAAATAACGATCGTTTAAAAGATCAATCGGACTGGGTATCGTTAAGCTGGATCAAATTTACGATAGAAACTAGTGCGGTTTACGCTGTAATACCTTATCTCTAGCGAAACGTATTCGCAACACTTCAACGAAAGCAGCTATTGCTGAAATGACAAGCATCGTCACGAGAATGTGTCCGGCGACCGGGACCGATTTCGTTCGACATTCTTTCCCACTTTCTTCCGCTTTTTCCGCCCCATTCTCGGCAAGGACCTCCTTCAACGTCTCCGACGTTTCGTTCTTCCCCTCGCTAACAGCCAGGCTCTTATCCTCTCCGTCCTTCACCCCAGGATCCGTGCTAGGTTGCTCATTCGTGTACGTGCAATTGCCATCGTAATCACTACGGTAGACCGACTTCAACCTGTCCTCGTAACCGAACCTGGGGCAACGTCTCAGTTTTCGATGGTCAGTCGGAACTGGGACCTTGGCCACCTCGCTGGACAGGTCCCTTGTTACTTCCACCGTGCTGTTCTTATCGATAGTCTCGTTTCTATTGTAGTAGTTCGTGGTCAACAGCAATTTCAACGGTAACGAAAGCAACACACCGAAGATGGTCAGTATCACGAGAATGCTGATGTTAATACCCAACGAGATCCGTTTCTCGGACATGTTGACGGTTTCCGACTTGCTCGAGCTCACAGCTCGTTCATCCTGCTTTGGTTCCTGCATCGTTGCACCGTGCTGCACCCGGTGGCCAGGCCAGCAGCGTTCATATCAAAACGTTCTACTCGTTCAACGCGTTATCCATCGCGATTCCGTCCACGGTTCACATGGCAGGCACTACTCGGCCGAGGGTGTCAAAGGTACTTTCGAATGGTTATCAGACAAACAATGGGGTCGAGCACGATACACAGTCTCTCCCTCTCTCTCGCTCAGACGCAACTGTTGCGCATTCTGTTGTGACTGCAGTTCCAAGTGAACCTGGATGTCGGCTGATATTGATTTCCAGCTGGAGCCGGCCACGTACGCGCAAGTCTCGCGGTGCCTCCGGTTCCGTCGAGGAAACTACACACTTGGCGGTAATTAGACGTCGTTTAAATCGAGCTTCGTATTAAAACAATCGACGCCTACGCCGGAACCACCTTTAGCTGTGTTTGCGTTAATGCGTGTAATCGATCGCCAGTACAAGTGTCTCGAGAACTCGCCAATGTGGGTTCATAGAGAATTGCGATTAATTATTCGCTGTCTGATAGGTGAGGAATTGTAATCGGTGAAGTGGATCTTTGCACAGAGTGGATTTTATTTAATTGCCGAGTCGTTAACTGACACGTTGCTTAATTAGCAACTCTCCTGGAAGGTGGGATTAAGGAGCTGCTTAGGCTTTCCAAATGTTCTTCGTTGAAATTTCTTAAGGAAAGTTCTTAATACGATGTATTTAAAAAGGAAGAAATTGATGAGAATTCTGGGTAAATTATTTAGGCGAATTTTTCATTAGTTAATAGAGTAATTAATTAATTAGTTAGACCACTAATAGAAATGGTATATTTCGAAACCTTCTTCGTGTATGTATCAAATCCGTAATTGTTACATATGGGTAAAATTATAACATACCGAGGAAAAAATGAAATTTTCTATTAAGAATCCGTAGCTAATTTTTAAGAACTGATTTTAACCCTTTGCGCATGAAGATTTTTGGCTAAAGAAGGGCACGAGTTGAAAAATTTTCTGCCATAAAGCTGATGATATTTTTTAAACGGTAAATAATAATTTCGATACCTCGCGCACTGTTACATTATTTTAAATTTGATATATTAATTAATATCGAGCTTCGAAATTTTATCAAATGGTGACTGAAAAGCGCCTCTCGAGTGCAAAAGGTTAATAACCAATAATTATAATAATTTTAATAACCAATTTTTAAATTGATTTTTACCGATACGAATTACTTCTCGTGTATTTGGAATGTAGAGATAACTACATCGGCTAGTTAAGCCTTAAAAGATCGGTATTAATAGAAACGCGGCTTAGTTATCTGCATCTAGAGCGTCTTCTTCAGTTTCAAAATTGATTAGGCAGCGGGAGATAAAAATTGAACGCGGATGTCGGTCGATGATCTATAACATTGACATGCACATATAACATGTACCGGGAACGTGATCCAGTATCAGGTACATCTTCAAACTGGCGATGAAACCTAGTTGCAATGCTAACAGTATGTCAGAATTTTTCCTTCCTTTCCTCGCGTTAACCAGGATTAACTACCGCGATCATTAGCTGGAGACCTAGTTTTAGATGAACTTCGAATCACCGATGCAAACAGCGCATTAAGTTCCTAGATAGTCATCAATCACTAATTAAGTTCAACACAGCTCAACTTCGACGATTAGATCGAAACTGGCGCGTTCTCTGTTTTTACAGTTACCTGCCGCTTATTATATCGCGATTTACATAATTTTCCATCGTTAAACAAGTTAGTGAAACTCCGACAAAATTTCTAGATAAATCCGGCATCCGAGGATACTCTTCGGACATGAAGCTTTCCTACGAATAATCTTAGGAATTGAAAAATATCTGAAAAAAGATCTCAAATTACCGTCAATATCGATATCCACGATATTATTATCCACGCAAATGGAAATTTTCCGATATTTTCATTTCATTTGCGACTATTATATGCACGAGTATTCGATAAATCCTAAATTTCCAAGGCTCCGGGGGCCCCATGGGCCATCGTGCTATTGCGTGGCGCAAAACGTGTCAACGGTTCGCGAGTTACCCTGCGAATATTTTCCGATATTTTTATTTCATTTGTGTCCATTATGCACGAGTATTCGATAAATCCTAAATTTCCAAGGCTCCGGGGGCCCCATGGGCCATCGTGCTATTGCGTGGCGCAAAACGTGTCAACGGCTGGCGAGTACCCTGCGAATATTTTTCGTGACGCTCTCGGTGCCCCTAAAAGCAAGAAATCTGCATGAAATATAAGCCACGAAGGAATCGTGCACGCGGTGATAGCGGGGCCCGAGCCCGAAGGCGGCACAAGAGTCGATTCATCGCACGATACACAGGCGGTTCGGCTTCGCGCGGAGAGGAAGGAAGCGGTAGCAAGGCGGCAAGGGTGCAAGGGAACGCTTTGAAATGGGCAGGTTCTCTAGCGCGTGCATACATAAATAATATTAGACAATATCGAATTAAAATTCGCATCTTTCTGGCGAGCAACAATGGACCGTTCTGCCCCAACAAAGGAAATGCCCGCCGCAACGGCGGCGGCGGCTGCTGCGGAGGTGGTGGTGGTGGTGGTGGTGGCGAGTGGTGGCGATGCTGCGGTGCTCATGGCGGTGGCGGTGGTGGTGGTGGTAGCGGCGGCATTTATAAAAGTAATAAAACAGTGGAACAACAACTCGGTGGAGCGAGAGTAGCAACCGGTGAGAAAGAGAGGTAGCGAGGAAGGTGGAAAGGGCGAGCGAGCGAGATATTCCGCGAAGGTGAAAAGAGGAGGGCGAGAGGAGATACAGAAAAACAGAGCAAAAGAGAGAGACGAAGCACAGGAGAACAGCGACCCGACCCGACCGACCGGTAGCCCAGCCAGCGCACGTATATCTTGCTCTGCTACACCGCACGCCGATTCTTCGAGGTTCTCATTGATGAATTCGTTCCCTTCCGAAAGCGAGTCAGCTCCATCTATCATCCCTTCTTGCTCCTTCTTGTTCGCGATCGCGAATATTCGGCTCGGCTTTCCGAACTAGCCACAGCGATATCGTCGAATTGATTATTATTTACAGGCTACAGGATCTATAGAGGCTGCTGATAGGGAACATCGAAAGGGCGTATAATTAACCGGAGGAACGTAATAGCGCGAGCTAGCCCGGGACCTTAATTAGTCCGGTTATTAATCCATCACTCCTGCAGGTTTATGCACCCGGTGAAACCCGTCCGTATCCTCTTGTCGCCATCGGATCGGCCGAACATCCGTTTCGCGGATATCGCGAACGTTAATTTAATCTTAATACCAGTTCCGTTCGTAGAGTATCCGCGGCCGATACGGGAACCAGTTCTCTAAACGAAAGAAGCATAATGAGATTAGCCGGCGGGCAAACATCGAAAAACGATGTCGGGGCAGGATACGCGTGTGTATCGACCGCGAACGAGCCGCAGGTGCGTCCAGCCGATTATCACAGGCCGAGCTCCGTTTTGCGCGAAAGGATGAGCTCTGCTCACGGAGGTTGAGAGCCAGGGTATGTAGAGCAGATGCTCTGGCCATGGCAGTGGTGGCGGGGTGCGTGATTTTTCACCGCCGACAGCTCCTCCTTCGAGAACCGCGCATTCCACCTCCTTCCTTCAGCTTCGACCCCTCTCGCTTCTTCGCCAGTCGGTCCCCTTCATCCTTCACTCTTCGTTCGCAACCGCTGCCTCCGCTGCTCGTCCTCCTCTCTTTCTCCATCCGCCCGTTCCTCCGCCACACGCTCGCTTCCGACTCTTTCTCTCGCTCGGTGGCGAACATTCGCAACGTATGCCGCGGACACGCCACTGGACACCAGTTGCACGATCTTAGATTTGCTGATCTCGCGTCCAGAGTGCACCGACACACAGGGATGCGTTCTCTCCGGTGCAGCGCGCGAGGGGCACCGCCTGGGCCCGCTCGCGTGTGCTCGTGCACGCACGCGATACACAAAGGGCCCGTGACCGTTCCGAGAAATGATTTTCAATAATCGGCCAACAGGGAAATGCGAAAAGGCACCGATCCTCGGCTCCTTCGTGTCACGCCGACACTTACCCCGCGCCCTGCCAATTTTCATTGATTCCCCGCGTGCCGATTATCGCGTGCAGCGCGTCCCTCTTCCTCAGCTTTTCGAGGAACGGATGCTGGTTCATGCTGTGCGCAGGATTACGTCATTTACCGTAGAGCTGAGTGCATTATCGGTTATTTCGCTGTTATCGATGTTGTAATCACGCATTCGCCGAACTTGTCTGTTAGGAATCTTGATTTTATCCACGTTCGCTTAAACGGATGTCCCCCTTGACACTTTCACTTTCACGTTGGTCATATATGACCGGTCACGGTTTCTTCTGTGACTTATTAGTGACCGTAGCGCTTATATGCTTCGAATAGTAAAAATACTCCCGTGACGTCCTGAGAAAAACCTGTGATTTCGGCGTGGCAGTCAAAGGATTAATGCTAAATTTGCCAGAATCAGGTGATCGGCAGTAGAATCTTGAAACAAAAATGGAACAACGGGAGACATCGTATATTGAAAGGAAAATCTCGAAAATGGGTGACTACGAGGAGAGTGCGAGTCCTTTGGGTCATAGATTTAATTTAAGCTTTGTAGGCTTTAAGCTAGATTTAGTCATGCAGTTCAAGAAAATATATCATTATAAGGGAAACTACTCAATAATTTTCGAGATTTTTATTATTAGCGTAATTACAGATTTATTTCGAATATTTACCAAGTGCCGTTGTGGTCTAATGGCGATATCCAAAAATTCCCACCGTTGCTGTTAGGCCACATGCCACTTGGTAACTATCGATAACTATTCGGAAGAAATCTCTAGTTAAGAATAATGAAGCTTTAATCAGAAATATCTCAAAAACTGTCGAGTAGTTGCCCTTATGATGGTACATTTTCTTAAACTGGATGATTAAATCTACAAATCTCTAAAGTTTCGATTAAATCAGTGACCCGAGGACTCGGACTCTCTTTTAACTCCTTGGGGCACGCTGGGATTAAAACTATCCCACCTTTTTGATGCACCGTAATGCATGCTGGGATATTTTTAGTCCCACCTTGAAATATTTCTTCTTATTTGCGTAAAGCAGTTGGTAATACCTTTAAAAAATGTTATAAATGTATTCGTTTGTGTTGGTAACATCCACATGCCAGTATAGGTTCATCAATTATTCAAAATTGGAAGGTTTATTGCGATAATCTTTTTTTC